GCGGGGGTGGGGCAGTGACAGCGGGGGTGGAAGGCAGGCTTCCCAGCTTGACCTGGCAGAGAAGGCAGAGGCCCAAATCTGTGTCCTTCGTCACTCATATTCTTTCTCCTTTTTTTTTTTTTTTGTTTCCAGACAAACAATAGGAAATTATTTAAATTAAACCATAGAAGGACAGTGAGCACACTGGACACACAGGCTTGAATTTACCTTCCAGCGCAGGGGGAGTGGGGTGGGGGGCAGACTTCCCTCCAGGCCACGTGATTGTTTTATTCCAATTATATCTATTTCAAAACTGAGCCATTCCCCACCTCTCCCCTAGGCTCCCTCACATCATCTCCTTCTTTCTGTTCTCTCCTCTCCCCAACAAGATGGCGCTGCCTGTAGTCTAGTCTGGTAGGACGACCCCTTCTGGAATATTCTTGAGAGGTAGAGAGAAAACCTTTGGCTGCAACATTATAACAGATATTAAAACACTCTGTAAATCATCCCATAATATCTAATCCCAATAGATGGTCTATAGATCTATTAGGACAAAGTCTAAACATTGGGATACTTAAAAAAAATTTCTTCTTGAGGGGCACCTGGGTGCAGGCGGTTAAGCATCTGACTCTTGATTTAGGCTCAGATCATGATTTCACGGTTCGTGGGCTCAAGCCCTGTGTCGGGCTCTGCACTGACAGCACGGATCCTGCTTGGGATTTTCTCTCTCCCTCTCTCTCTCTGCTTCTCCCCTGCTTGCATGCACTCTCTGTCAAAATAAATAACCTTAAAAAAATATCTTCTCAAGGCCGGTGGGGAATGGGAGAAATAGGTGATGGGGATTCAAAGGAACACTTATCGTGATAAAAAAAAAATAAGTAAGATTTATTCTTAATGTTAAGGCAAATGTGGCCTTTCTGTCCATCTACTTCCTGGTTTTCTGGCTGTTTTCTAAAGCAAAAGACAACGAAATGGTTCCTTCTGCGGGATGGAATAGGGCTCTGGAACTCTCCATGGCATTTAACCCATTTCCCTAAATCGTTTCTTTTTCAGGTTGAACATCTGTTCCCTTCAATCGTTCTTTAAAAGGCATATGTACTGGGGCGCCTGCTTGGCTCAGTCGGTTAAGCGTCCAGCTTCTGCTCAGGTCACGATCTCGCGGTTCGTGGGTCGGAGCCCCTCGTCAGGCTCTGTGCTGACAGCTCGGAGCCTGGAGCTGCTTCGGATTCTGCATCTCCCTCTCCCTCTCCCCCATTCTCACTCTGTCACTCTCTCCCTCAAAAAAAATTTTTTTAAAAATAAATGAACGTTAAAAAAATGTAAAAGGCACATGTATCAGAGGCATCAGGGTGACTCAATAGGTTCAACATCCGACTCTTGATTTAGGCTCAGCTCATGAGCTGGAGCCCCGCATCGGGCTCTCTCTGCACGGACAGCGAGGAACCTGGTTGGGATTCTCTCTCTTCCTCTCTCTCTGCCTTTCCCCTACTCATGCTCTCTCTCTCTCAAATTAAATAAGTAAACAATTTTTAAAACAGACATATGTATCAGACTCTAAAGTCTGCCTGCCTAGCACACAGCAAGCACTCAATAAACGCCAAATCCTTTTCCTAAGTGTAAAGTGCTCTGTTCTCCGAAACCATTCTTGCTCAGCAAGATTCTCCATGTCTCGACAGTCCCAGCTGCGGTGCCTGGAATGTCACCTGTGTCGCAGAGGTGGTGCTGCAGTCCCCTCCACGCAGTGCAGCTGGAGACTGGGGCTGGCTGGCTGCTCGGTCGGTCCTGTGGTTTTGTCGTGATACTCTCGGCCAGGTCACCCCGAATCCAGAATGACCTTGACTCACCTGGACCTCCCCCCGGGGTCTTTATCACGTGAGCTGATGCCAAGCCAGCCTTTTGATAAGCTGCGCTCTGCAAGTGATTGTGTGGCCGTGTGTGTATGGCTGTCTTCACGTGGATCACTTTGGTTTCCCATCACTGGTCATTCCAGGCAATTACGACCCTGGTTCTGTTCTTGCTGCGCTAGGCGTTCCTTCCATGACGCTCCTCTTCCTTCTCCTTCCTTCCTGGGACAGAGATGCTCGCTACTGCTGTCGCTGTGGCTTTAGGAGGGCAAACGACACTAACAGAGACCCTAAAAAGTGCCAGACTTTGCCCAGGAAACGATGATATGTCTTAGGACTGTCGATTTCTCCACGGACAGAGCCTCAGTCCAACATGTGCTCCTTGGAAGAGCATCTTTCTTCGTGGTACAGTCTTCTGGTCAGGTAGCTTGGGTTTCGTGAGGTTCCCCCACCTGCCCCGATGTTTTGGTTCTTTTTCGGGCTGCCTTTCTGGATGTCACCGTCTGCTCTGTCTAGGGGCCTGTCCTGTTCTCAGGAAACCTGCTGAGATGACGATGTAGTCCGTGTGCTCCTCAGAGCTACGGGAACACACAAAGAGTGTCGCCCAACACTTTTCTCCCCCTTCATAATCCACTTCGGAGAAGCAGCGTCTTCGAGAACAGTTCCACAGTCGGTGTCCTTGGGGTCACGGCAAACAGTCTCTAGTGCTATGTTCTCGTTCTTTCTCCTGTCAGCCAGACAGCCCCCGTGTGTGGCTTCTCGCAGGCGGATGTGACGCTGCTGTTGCGCGTGCAGGATTTCCGGTTGCCACAGGTGGAAGTCGTCACGTCACAACGTTTACACAATTGCTGTCAGCAACCACTGAGTTGTTCACAGCCCCCTGAACGTGCACGGAGAGATCGTGCTGGCAATGCGTGGGCGCCAGCGATGTACAGCGGCCCCTGAGCTGCCCTCCACCCACAGCAGCCCCCGCCGCTGGCCCTAGACCGAGCGCCTAGCGCAGGGGAGCCCGGCGCCTCCCCAGGTCCCTGGCTGTGCCTCAGTGCTGCGCGGGCGGATGTGCAGGCCAGGTGTGGTAGCAGTGAGGAGGGGGCCTGGAAGCCTGTGGGGCGTGCGGAGGCCAGGGGCAGAGGACAGCTGCGCAGGAGGCTGACCTCGTCACCCATATTCTTAAAATAGGACAAGTCGGGATGACCACAGCTGGGAGCAATGCCCAAGTGTCATAGGAGCACAATGTCCTGGAATTTTTCACCCTTTATGGGACCTTTGCCCCATTCCTTCTGGAACAAGATAACAGATAAGCAGCCTTCGTGGCTCAGAAACCTCTTCTTCACCTTTGTCTTCTTTGTTTTTGTCCCTGTCCCCATCTCCACGCCACCTCCCATTCTCTAGGGCAGCTCTGGCTTCCTTGTCCTTCTTTCCTGCTTGCCCAACGAGGGACCCCCTGGAGGGCTCTCCTCATCTTCTCCATATATGCTCCCCTTCCCTTTGGTGTCTTTACTGCTTCACCAGCCTCCTCTCCCTGCACGATCCCGGGAAGAGGAGACGTGGCCAGTGTGGAGGTGTCACCGAAACCCGGGCGCTGGGCGGGACCCATCACTGTGGCTGCTGACCGCCCGAGTCCCTCTGGAGTCCCACGAGCCAGCCCGGAAGGAAAGAACTCCTCGCTGCCTTTTCCCTTTTTATTTTAATACAATCTCACATTTTCAGAGAGGTTGCAAAAATTGTGCAGAGAGCTCTCATGTCCCCTTTACTCAGTCTCAGGTCAGTAACACTTGTCACATTTGCTTTCTCTGTATATAGATGCAGAGAGAGAGAGAGACGCAGACATACGTACGGAGAAATAGAGGTGTTTTTCTTTTTTTTAATTTTGTTTACTGTTTTTTTTATTTTTGAGAGAGAGAGAGAGAGACCGAGAGCGAGTGGGGGAGGGACAGAGAGACAGAGGGAGACACAGAATCCAAAGCAGGCTCTGGGCTCTGAGCTGTTAGCACAGAGCACAATGTGGGGCTCGAACCCACGAACTGTGAGATCATGACCTGAGTCAAGATCAAGAGTTAGACGCTTAACTGACTAAGCCACCCAGGTGCCCCTGTGACCTATTTTTACTTTTGCAATTAATAATAACTGTACGGGAGGTATTTTGCAACTACGTAAATAACCTATTTCTGGTCCTTACCAGGTCAGCCTCTTGACTAAGTCAATTATAGCTGAGAGTCTTGCAAAATGATTCTCCATTTCTGTACTATTTTCTACAGTTATTACCTAGTATTTTGTGTAAGGAAGAGTTTTGCCTTTTTCTCTATTTATTTATTCATTTATTTCATTTATGGACTCATAGATTCTTATTTTATTCCCTGAACATTCTCTTATCTTTTTTTAAGTTTATTTTTGAGAGGGAGAGAGAGAGAGAGAAAGAGAGAGAGCGCGAGAGAGCACAGGCATGTGTGATTAGGGGAGGGGCAGAGAGAGAGGGAGAGAGAATCCCAAGCAGGCTCACTTATTATCTCAGGAACCATGAGACCATGACCAGAGCGGAAATCAAGAGTCTGACGCCTAATCTGCTGAGCCACCCGGGTGGCCCAGGAACATTCTCTTATTAACATTATTTGTGTTGATGCTCAAACTGTCCCGGACTTGGCCAGTGAAACCCCCTCCAAGCTGGCTTCTGTACCCTTTGGACGAGTCCTCATCGCGTTTGGGACACTTCCTTGCTTTTTGGCATAGGAAGACGCAGCAGGTTCAGCCGTTGGGGATTCTTCCAGACGCACCGTTCTGCCCTGATTCCTGCTCTTAACGCAGCAGGGACACGAGCGGGCCGCTCAGACCTTACTGGCTGGGCTCTCCTGGGTCCCAGTGCCATTCCCTCCCGGCCGGTCACCCCGCGACCTGGGGCCGTGACCCGCCGATCTGGGGGCGACGCCCGCGTACCGCCAGCGAGCTGGTTACTTCGGAACCAAACCTGCGGCACCCCCTGGGGGCGGGGCATCGCGGCTCTGGAACCTCATTGGCTGGAGCGGCGGGAGACCCCGCCCCGGAAGGGGCGGGGCCCGCGCGCGCGGGGCGGGGCCCTCGCTGGTGCCGGAGCTTTTCTTCCCGGCAGCGGGTCCTCTCCCAACTCCAGCGCTGGCCCCCCACCCCCGGTGCGGACCCCCGGCCCAGCTCCGGCCCGACCCCGGCCCGGCCGCCCCTACCATGCACTGCTACCAGGAGGAGGGCAGCTGGAGCCTGTCCTTCGCGGGCGCCGGCTTCCTGGGGCTCTACCACGTGGGTGTGACCAGCTGCTTCAGGGAGCGGGCCCCGCACCTCCTCCAGGGCGCCCGCCGCATCTACGGCTCCTCATCCGGGGCGCTCAACGCCATGAGCATCATCGCCGGCAAGACTGTCGGTGCGCGGGGGCGACGCGGGCGAGGAGCGCGGCGGGACGCTGGCACCACGCGGGAGGGAGGGCGTTTCAGGGCCCCGTGCCTGGCGCTGGGGCCTGCGCCCTTTGCATCCAGCATCCTCCCGTCTAAGCCTTATGAGAATCCTGAGGACTCGGGGCTATGGTTATCCTTGTTTCGCAAGGACCGAGCGGAGCTGGGGAGCCTGCTCCTGAGATCAAAAGGTGGACAGAGCATTTGGACACAGGGCTGGGCACAGACATTCTGGGATGGAGCGGGGAGGCACCTGGGGAGGAGGTCAAGGCTTTGGGACGGATACGGGCAGACTCTCTGGGAGGCTGAGGACCCCCTCCTCCCCCCCCCCCAATCAGATTTCTGCTGCTCCCACCTCCTGGACATGGTCAGGCACCTGGAGAACCTGAGCCTGGGCATCTTCCACCCAGCTTTCGCGCCCATTGAGCACATCAAGCAAAAGCTGCTGGAAGAACTGCCTGCCGACATTCACATTCTGGCCTCCCAGCGGCTGGGCATCTCGCTGACCCGCTGGCCCGACGGCCACAACATCATAGTCACTGACTTCGCAACCCGCAGTGAAGTCATCCAGGTGAGAGTCATCCATAGGCCCGGAGACAGGCAAGTGGGCTCCATCTCCTCCCAAGGACTTCCAGGTGCTTCCCAGGGGCAGATACTCCTCGAGGTGGGGATGGGGACATGAGGCTTGTGTTTGTTTACAAACAAGGCAGTGCAGGTGCAGAGAGGAGCCACTGGGTAAGTATGGGGTCTCCTCGCTCCCACCTTGCTCTGGGAAGGCCCTTTGGCTGCACACAGAAAAGGGTATGGCTGGGGAAGGGGCAAAGTCAGGCTTCTGTACTCAGGGTCCCTGAAGGGGCTGCTTTTTCAGAGGCGTGCCTGCCCATGATGGTATTAGGAGAGCCACAGGTCAGGGAGAGAGGCCAGTGACAGGCCGTGGGCGTGGTCAGGTGGCTAAGCAGGGGTTGGGTCCCTGGGGGAACTCAGGCAGGTAGGGAGACAGGTCCCTACCCTGTAGGGCCTCAGCTCCCTCATCACAGCTCTGCTGCCCTTTCCTGTTTGGGTCCGTGCCTTCCACCCAGACTAGGGGCCCCAATGCAGAATCTGCTTCATCTTACCGACCCCAGCCTCCAGCATGGGGACTGAGTCTGAGCTTCCGTGCTGATTGGAATTCATAGGGTCTGCAGAGATGGGCCAGTCCCGTGCTGTGGCCTGATGTCCACAGGCTCTTGAGGAAGCCGCCTAGGGACCCTCACGGGTGCCTCAGCATCTTTGCCTGGGTGGCACATAGCACAGGAGCTGGCACATAATAGGTGCTCAGTAAACATTAGCTACTGTCACTCTTATCTGTGGGAACAAGGCTCCCACTTGAATCTCCACCTGGTTAGAGACAGGATGAATTCTGCATCTCCTAGAGAGGGTTGGAGGGATATTTCCAAGTAGACCGCGAGATAAGGTTCTTTTTTTAAAAAAAAAATTTTTTTACATTTATTTATTATTGAGAGACAGAGAGAATGGGGGAGGGGCAGAGAGAGAAGGAGACACAGGATCTGAAGCAGGCTCCAGGCTCTGAGCTAGCTGTCAGCACAGAGCCTGACATGCGGCTTGAACCCACAAACTGTCAGATCGTGACCTGAGCTGAAGTCAGACAGTCAACTGACTGAGCCACCCAGGTGCCTGACAAGGTTCTATGCTCAATGAGTTTGGTAGGCTCTCCTTCAGCGTTTCTCAACCAGAGGTGATTTTTCCTCCCTGGGGACATTTGACAACAATAGAAGCATTTTTGGTTGTCACAGCTCTGCGTGTGTGTGTGTGTGTGTGTGTGTGTGCGTGTGCGTGCACCAAGTACTGACACTTAGTGGGTGGAGGCCAAGGACGCGGCTAAATATCCCACGGTGTTCAGGACAGCCCCCTCCCACCCTATCATCTCCCACTCCTCGAGCAGAATTCTCGAGCCCTAAATGTCAATATGTTAAGCATCTTTTTCACTGCAGGGCTTGTCAGAGCCTCTACTGGGAAGAGTGGACAGTGTTTTCCAAGTGGGTAAAGAAGTCAGAGTTTCTTCTTTTGTAATGTTTATTTATTTATTTATTTATTGAGAGAGAGAGAGAGGGAGAACATGATTGGGGGAGGGGCAGAGACAGAGAGCAAATCCCAAGCAGGCTCTTCATTGTCAGTGTGGAGCCCGATGCGAGGCTCAAACTCACAAACCACCATGAGATCATGACCTGAGCTGAAACCAAGAGTCTGACACTTAACCGGAAGTCAGGGTTTCTTATTTGAGATGCATCTGGTTGAATCGGTGTCCAGGGAACACACTTTGGGAGGCATATGTGGATTGTTGGGGAAGCATTCCTACCAGCTGGGAAGGGCGCTTGGCGCCTCTGTTTGTCCTGGGGTGGGGGGGGAGGGAGGTCCCAGCAGCAGTTTCGAGTGAGCGAGGACCCATTAGCAGGAAGAGGAGGGTGGGCGTCACAACAGGCTTGCTTTCAAGTACCTCCTTGACCTTGAGAACTCGGCTGGCACCTGACACCTCCCTGGGCCTCATTTCCCTCCCCTGAGCACAGAACTCACGCCATGTACTTTGCAGGCTGCTCTGCCCAGAGCAGGTTCTGAACACCAGGAGCATGAACAATTGTGTTTCCGCTGCCTCGTTTTCCCAGGCTCTGGTCTGTACCTTATACTTTCCTTTCTACTGTGGGACGATTCCTCCTGAATTCAGAGGGGAGGTAAGTGCATCTCGGGGGCTTGGTGACTGAGTCCCTGCCCCGTGCTCTGGGTGGCCCCGTATTCTTACTGCTGACAGCCATGTGGGTGGAGGGAATTCCTTGAGTACCTGCTGTGTGCCAGCCCCCCTCCCCCAATATCCCCCTCCTGGGGGTGGCGCTCAGAACATCCTGGGCTGGAGTGGACCCAGTGGCTCCGGGGCAACTAGAGGTCACCGGCTGCAGCCCATTTCCGGCCGGTGGCTCCATGGCGGTATGGGAAGAGGACAGGCGTCCTGAGCAGGAAGCCCACCTCAATTGCAGCGCTACATCGACGGGGCTCTGAGCAACAACCTGCCCTTCGCGGACTCTCCCTCCACCATCACTGTGTCCCCTTTCCACGGGACAGTGGACATCTGCCCCCAGAGCACCTCGGCCAGCATACACGAGTTGAACACCTTCAATGCCAGTTTCCAGATATCCACCAAGAACTTTTTCCTGGGGTTTGCCTCCCTCATACCCCCCAGCCGTGAGGTAGGTCTGGCCCCCGGCGCCTGCCTGGAAGGTGTTAGAGGCTTGGCCATGATCAAGGGTCCTATGAGTCAGACTGTGTCCCCACACCCTCCCCATCACCAAGGTAGAATACACGTCCTGAGTCTTACAACGGAGCCCTTGAACTCACAGGTCGGGGCTCAAGTGGCGTCCGTACAATCCTTCCCCTGCCCGAGGGAATGCTGAGTTGGGACTGGCCCCCATATCAAGGCTTGCTAAGGCCAACCCTACCGAGCTTGGGTTTGAGCCAGGCCTCTGCTGATATTCCTCTGGGTCAGGCTCTGTGAGAAGGTACTGTTATCATCTCCCTTTCTCAGGGGAGGACACCAAGTCTCAGAGAGGTTAAGCAGCTTGTTCAAAGTCACACAGCCCGGAAGCAGCAAAGCCAGGCTTCAAATCCTCAGTTAGCCCAGAACCGTGCTCTTAACCACTGCCCTAGACTCTGGCCAAATTGACCATCCCCGTGGAGGCGAGGCAAAAACACAGACCAAGGTGGACAATAGACTTACACTTCCTGTCTTTTTTCCCAGTGTTTTGGAAATGGGGCACTTGACAACCAACAGTTTATCACCATGACATGCCTTGGCCCTCCCCTATTCCTTCATACATTTTTTGGTTCTGTAGTGTTTTGGTTTTTACTTTAAGTCAACTCAGCGCCCCACGTGGGGTTCAAACTCACAACCCCGAGACCAAGAGTCGCACACTCTACTGACTGAGCCAGCCATGCACCTTGGTTCCGTAGTGTTTTATAATTTAGGAAACGAGGTCGTCCTCATTTACTCGATCTCCCCTATACCTGTGAAGTGGACAGAAAATCTCAGCCCCATCTTACGGTCAAGGAAGCTCAGGCTTTCAGAAAGGTGGCGTGGCCATTCCGAGGCCACACAGCTCCCTCCTGGACGTGCAGGTGGCTTTCCCGCCACTAGGGGAGCTCTGACTGAGACAGGCCCATGTGGGCCCCTAGTTTCCTCTGCCATCTCAGGCTGCTTCTGGAAATAAACATCAAAGGGCAAAGGGAACCACTATGCATTGATCAACAGGGAACCAGACAATGTCCCGGGCGCCCTGAGCCTGGAGAGAGGAAAGTCTGGAGCAAGAGCCCCCGCCCCCGCCCCTGCCCTGCCTGCCAAAGAGTCTTAGAGGAGGGAGGTGACGTGGGGTCGTGGGGAGGGAAGCAGCTTGAGCAGATCGCAGATCTTCAACGGAAGCGGCCCCTGCCCAGCACTGGGGCCCTTGAACCCTGCAGAGGGGAGTGCGGGCTGGGCAGGGCTGGGCAGGGCTGGCTTCCAGGTGAAGAGAGTCCCTGGCCTATGAACAGGCAGCTCAAGGGGCAGGTCCAGGCCTTTCTCATCCCCCCTGACCTGTGTGTTGGCAGATGGTGGCTGACAGCTGCAGACAAGGCTACCTGGACGCCCTCTGGTTCCTGGAGAGACGCGGTAGGTGGTGCCCTGGCGGTAGCCTGGCATCCTGCTCCCCGGGGCCCCAAGCGTTTGCGTTTTTTAGGCACCTCAGCTCGCTTGTTCTCTTCCTCAGCATCTCCCCTGTGCCTGGCCTGAGCCGGATGCTGGGGGCCCGGGGAGGATCACACGTGTGTCCTGCTTTTGACTTGCCTGCCCTTAGTCTGGTGCGGGGACACAGAGCAAGAGAGACACCTCCCCACGGAGCCCACAGGGGAGCCCAGAGGGGACCCTGACCCAGCAGGGGGTGGGCAAGGAGGGCTTCCTGGAGGCAGCAACAGATAAGCTGGGTTTTGACAAGTTATGAAAACAATGGAAAGGTTGAAGACAGAAAGGAAGAGAGCATTCCAGGCAGAGGGTGGATGAGCAAAAGAACAGGGCCCAGCACCTTCACCTTCAGTGCACACAACTCGGTATGGCCGCAGGAGTGTATGTGTGAGTGTGTGTGTGTGTGTGTGTGTGTGTGTGTGTGTGTGTTCGTGTTCGTGGGGGAGCGGGTGGGCCAGAGAGGTCTTCTCAGTTGGAGAGCGTGCATGTCACCCCACAGAGCACTGCTCTTCAAAGTGGTCATCCTGAGATTTGAGCCCAGGCTGTCCGGCTACAGAAAGAACCCATGTCCTTTACCCCCCACCACAGCCCCAAGCACAAAGCAGCTGGGAGAATTTGCTGAGCACTTACAGCGTGCCCAGATCTGGGCTTGAGCTCTGGGTAGTTGTCTCATCAGACCAACCACATAAAGCAGGTTTTAACCTTCTCCTTTCTCAAAGAAGGAAACTGAGACACAGAGCACCTAGGTCCCCGAGCTAGCAGGTGTCGATATCAGGATTTGAACCTTGGACTGGTTCTTCGCGGTCTGGGATCTGACTGACTGCTAGAAAGTGCACGGGAAACAGGGAGCAGAGAAGGGCAGGAAGAGGTTGTTCAGGATGAGTCATGGGTCCATTCTGCGGCAAGCAGGTCCACAGAGCTGCGTTGGGGGATTGAGAGGGGCAGGTGGCCTGGAGGGCCAGGGGCATCACTGCTACCCGGGGGCTCCAGATGTGCTGACCTGTCATGTCCCACTTCTCTGCTGACACAGGACTTACCAAGGAACCAGTGCTTTGCCTGCTGGTGTCTAAGGAGCCCCCAGCCCCCGCGGATGGGACCCAGGACACTGACCATGATGGTGGCCAGAAGGGGGGCCTGTCTTTAAACTGGGCAGTGCCCAACGTGTTGGTCAAGGATGTGCCCAACTTCGAGGAGCTCTCACCAGAGCTGGAGGCTGGTACTGCCCTTTTTTCCTGCACTTGCTCACCTACCACATGCCCTGCACAAACGGGTTGGGGGCAGGGACCCTACCCTGAAGGCCCTCATGGCCTGGAAGAGAACAGGGCTCCTTTACTGATCATCTTCTGAGTGCCAAGTGTGGTGCAAAGGCCTTTTTTTTTTTTTTTTACCTGTTGTATCTCTCGCTCCACACCACTGGGCATTTTTCTTACCCATTCCACTGATGATGAAACTGAAGCTCAGAGAGGTGATTGGGGGATTCAAACCCAGATCTGTGCCTCGGAAAGCCAGGTCTTTGCCCACTCCCCAGGCAAGGGCAGGAAGTACTGAGGGATCTAAGAGAGGCACACATAGAGGGTTCTGGACTCTCCACACATGATGAGAAGACTCATTTCATCCTCCCAAACAATACCTTGAGGATGACACTGAATTGTCCCCATTGTATGGAAACCATTGCACAGAGAGATTAAGTGAGTTGTCCAAAGTCACACAGCTAACAAACAGCCAAAACAGTTCTGCTGTGATCCATTCAGTTTGCTCTCCTGCTTAGTGACTCCAAAGTCACAACTGCCACAACAGAAAAGTCCAGGCACGTGTAATGGTGGCAGGGATGTGGGTTTGAACAGCATCTAAGTGAGACTTGAGGAGTTGTGGCCAGGAAAAAGGGGAAAATGAGCAGCCAGGCAGAGGGTACAGCACGTGCAAATGTCCTGGCTTTGGTGGAGGCAGCTGGAGGCCCCTGTGGCCACAGCATCGTGGTTGAGGGGCAGGGGAGCAGAGGCTGGGAGGGTTAGGCAGGTGGCTTTGGAACTGCAGGAGGGGAGAGATGGGGATCCACTGGCAGGGGAACGTATAGGGGGCAACCCCTCCTTTTCAGAGTTCAGTAGTTCTCTGAACTCTAGATGCAGTGTTCACGGCACCTAGCTGGGATGGGACAGGCTGGGGGTGGGGGTGGGGAGGCTGGAAGGAGAGACGATGGTGGTTGAGGTCAGAGCAGAACAGGGTGGGTGGATGCAGCCTCTTTCTGCACTGGGACCATACAGCGCGAGCGGAGACGGGGCTGGATCTGGGCTGAGCCCCTGAGGTCCCGGCTTGGAGCTCTGGAACCAAGGCCGCATCCCTGCAGCCACGCGGGGGCGCCAGAGAGCCGCCTCGGGGCGGGGCATCACGGCCAGCTCGCCTCCTCGGGACTCAGCCTACCGACCTTGACAGACAGCCCTTAATCCTCGCCTGCCTGCCTGGGAGGCAGATCCAGCCGGTATCCCCACCTTTCAGAGGAGGTAGCCCTGGCTCGGGGAAGGGACGGGACTCATCCCGGGACGCACGGCAGGTAAACGGGGAGCTGGGTCTTCGTGACATGCTATCTGTGAGGCCTCCAAGTGGCTGTCTCTAGACAGCAGTAGCCAGGGTCAAGGATGGAGGCTGAGCCACGGTCTGAAGGCTAGGATTTGAGTTCCGGCTCTGCCCTGGCCAGGATGCCAGTCCTTCCCACCTGGTCAGTTCCGGGCATGGGGTGCTGGTTCCCACTGCTGCTGCTGCTGCTGTTATTAACACTGATGCGTTGCTGTTACCTAGAATGGCATGGTGCGGGCGCTGGTCCCATCCTGGGGTGGGGGCCACAACAGACTTTGCAGAGGGGTGGGAGATATGGAAAGAACTCGGTGAGTCCGTCAGGCCTTGGGTCCACTCTGGCCCTGCCACTTCCTGGGATGGTCTTTGGGTAAGTCACTTCTCCACTCTGAACCTCAGTCTCCTCATCTGTGACAGGGGTATGCCCTGCCTACATCAGGGATACTGAGGAGAGAGCACAAGCTGAGTGCCTCGCCCCCTGCTGGCTCATGCCAGGGGCTTGCTCAGTAGTGCTGGGTTTTTTCCCTCTGCAGATGGGGGCGGGGGGGGGGAGGCGGTGGGCAGTCTGTGGACCGTGTGAGGTGGAAAGGGGTTCAGGCTGCCTTCCCGAAGGGTGATGGTGGGGAGGGGGCTGGCTGGAGGGCAGGGGGGTAATGCCATGGCTTCTCTCACAGTACTGAAGAAAGCATGTATGATGGACAACAGCCCCTGGGCCCGCTTCCGCCGGTCAAGGCCTGGGCAGGCCCTGACATACTTCCTGCTGCCCTGGACACTCCCCTTTGAGTATGTTTACTTCCGGAGCAGAAGGTGAGGCCCAGCCAGGGGTCCTGGGAGGGGCCCGGCTTGTCGCCAGGGTTGTGGCGGAGACCACTGCCCACAGGCAGCCAGCACGCTGGGTGGGGGCGGGGCCTGGCTGGCCTCCCCGTGCTGCTTGGTCTTGGTCACACAACCCAGAGAAGTCTTGGTGGGCTCCCTCCCCCTGCAAGATGGGACCCCTGGGGAGATGGTGTAGCAGCTGTGACTGGCTGATCAGAAAGGGGGCCTCCTGGTCAGCACCCTGGTCAGCACCCTGGTCAGCACCCTGGCCGCTCTCCTGTCTCTAGGCCCTTTGGCCGTTTGCTCTACCTGTTAGAGCCTCAGAGAAAATGTACTATTTCTCGGGAAATAACTCTAGGGTTGGGTCTGGCTCAGATTAGCTGTGTGGACTGGGATAGGTCTCTTGACCTCTCTGGGCCTCAGATTCCTTTTTTATAAAACAAGGCCCATGGGGCGCCTGGGTGGCATCCGACTTCGGCTCACGTCATGATCTCACGGTTCATGCGTTCGAGCCCCGCATTGGGCTCTGTGCTGACAGCTCAGAGCTTGGAGCTGCTTCGGAGTCTATGCCTCCCTCTCTCTCTGCCCCTTTCCTGCTCTCTGTCTCTCTCAAAAATAAACATTAAAAAACAAACAAACAAAAAACAAGGCCCTTCCAGGACAGACTGTTTGTGGTTAAGGCCTCACTAACCATTTTAAGTTTGCTGATTAATGAATCGCTCTGCATTGTTGGTTTATTCATTCCACCGGTAGTTATTGAGGGCCTGGCCTGGGTTTGGCTGGGGATAGGGAGGCAGCCCTGACTCAGACCCAGACCCTGACCCTGTGGCGCTCCCAGTCCACAAACAATCACACATTCATCTGTGCAATCACACCACTGTCTAGAGATACCTAGAGAGGTCTGTGTTGGCTGTGTTCCCTAAAAGAGATCTACACTGCCTGTGAACTGAGACAGCTCACACTACGGGCTATCTGGTCAGGGAAGGCTGTCTAAAGGAAGTAACTTTTGAGTTATAATCTGAAGGATAGGTCCAGCAGGCAAAGAGGGAGGGGCAAAGCATGCCAGATGGCTGGAACAACATGTGCAAAGGTCCTGGGGCAGAAGGCAGAGGAAGTAAAGCCCCTTGGAGGCCAGTATGGCTGGAGTCAAAAGGTGGAGTGCTATACAAGACAGGGGCTGGTGATGAGGCAGTGTGGTGGTGGCTGGCAGGGACTAGACATGCGGGGTTCTATAGCCAATGAGGAGTGTGGTCTTTATCCTAACAGTGGTGGGAAGGCAGTGAAGGGTTTCAGTAGGGAAGTGTCATGGGGAGAACCGCATTAAAAAAAAAATTCTTTATTCCCTAAAACCTCTATGACAATGGGCCACAGGTCTCTGCTCTGTTTTGCTCTGTGCCGAGTTAACGGCTGGATCAGGCCTGATGCTGGAATTGCCAGTGGCCAGAATCCAGGAGAGAACTTTCTGCAGACTCAGATTCTCCTCATGCTGAGCTGTGAGATTGAAACTACAGGTTGAAGTCAAAAGGATAAGTGCAAAGTCTAACCTTTTCAGCCAAAAAAACAAAAAACAAACAAACAAAAAAAAAACCAAACCAAGTCCAAATATGAGCACTGAGGAAAACTTGCCCAGACCATAGGGAAATTCTTACTTAGCATTTTCTATAACCTACTTGCTGCTGGGCATGTAGGTTGTAATAGTAGAGGCAGAAGGTCCAGAACAAGGGAGGTGATGGTCTAGCTTATGTTTTGCTTCTCATACTACACCCTGTGGACTGCTTGCCCAGTCCGAGGCCCTGGTTTAGAAGCTCTGCTAAAGGCAATGCGTTGGGGGTGAGGCCCTGTAGTGTCCAGTGAGTCTGAGAAGGTGCGCAGACAGGCACGCTCTCGGCCACGATTGGATGACCTGGTCCTCTGCTGACTCTACAGGGCCCACATGGGGAGCCATGGGATGGTTTTGAGCAAGAAAAGTCTATGATCAGACGTATGTTTCGGAAAAGTCCCTGGTGCTAAGAGGAGAGTGGATGGAGGGCTGTGGAGTAAGGAGGGCGGTCTGGGGAGGAGGGGGTGCGGCAGAGATATGAAGGGGGTGAGGAACTCTGGGCAAGGTGACGGTCCTCTTTTTTTTTTTTTTAATTTTTCATGTTTGTTTATATTTGAGAGAGAGACACACACAGAGTGCGAGTGGGGGAAGGGCAGAGAAGAGGGAGACACAGAATCTGAAACAGGTTCTAGATTCTGAGCTGTCAGCACAGAGCCAGATATGGGGCTTGAACTCACAAACCGTGAGATCATGACCGGAGCTGAAATCCGGTACGTAACCTACTGAGCCATCCAGGCGCCCTGTGTCAGTCCTTTTTAGGCAGGTGAGAAAACTGAGGCCCAGAGAGGTTCCCTGAGCTGCCCAGGTCACACAGCTCATGAGCAGGGGAGCTGGGCCCCGACCCCAAGCCAGCCTGACCCCAGACCCCTGCCCTTTCCCTTGGGCTTCCCGCTCATGCCCTGTGGAGTCGCTAGCCAGCTCTGTGGTACGGCCAACAGTGCAGGGTGCTTCTCACCCCCTATTTCACTTCCGTTAAGCCTGGGGCGTCGGGTGCAGAGAGGTGCCCGGCTCTGCCCTGGGCCCGTGGGGAGGGTGGGCTCTGCTGGGCCACACGCTCAGGCTTAGCCGCTTGCTGGTCCCTCCTCCAGGCTGGTGGCATGGCTGCCCGATGCGCCAGCCGACCTGTGGTGGATACAGGGTGTGCTGCAGAGGCTGGGCCTTGAGATCTGTTCCAGGTCGAAGGACCAGCTCCTCAGGCTGCTCAGGTGAGGTTGGCGGACGGGCCTGGGCGAGAGTGGGAGAGGCTTCCCTGGTGGAGAAAGGCACCAGCTGTTCTTCTGGATCCTAGACCGGCAGGGTGGCACACCGTCCACATCCTTCTCTCTGTCCGGCCGCACAGTCCCTGGCACCTGTTTGGTCACCACTGTGGGTCAGACCTGTGCTGGGCCTGGACGTAGCGGCTGGCCAGTCACGCTGGTCAGTCTGCAGGACTTTCTCCCAAGGGCGGTCCAAGCCCCCAGGCCGAGTGGATGCCCCTTCTCTGCTAGATCTCCATCGGCCCTTGCAACAGCCTCTGGATGTCCCTCCGTGTCCCGTGTGGGGTCTGGGTTGGGGCTGCCTGTCCCTCAGCCTGCCTCCCTCCTGGCTGGACACCCTGGCGTCCTCCCAACCTGCCTGACAGACATTTGTTTGGCCATCCCTGGAATCCCAGTGTGGCCGGAATAAGGGCCTCAGGACCTTCCTCATGGCAGGGTCTGGGAGCAGAGTGACCGCACCGGATGTGAGGGACTGCCCACTGCCCTGGCTTCACCCCTGCCCTTGGTCCAGCCCCAGGCTCAGAAAGCTTTGCCTTCACCTGCTTCTGCTTCCTCCGCAGCCTGCTGGTCACCAGCCCCCTCTGGCCTGGGGCAGCTCCTCCTGTGGACCTGGCCCAGGAGCCCTGACTTTCCCATCAGGCCTGAGAGGCAAAAAGAGAGCCAGTCCGGTGGCTGGCATCCCCTGGCCCTTGAATTCCTGTCCCCCATCTGCCTCCAGTCCTTGAGTCCTGGCTCGTCTTCCAGGGCTTAGAGCCGAGCCCTCGGCCCAGGGCCAGCACTGGAATTGGTCTGCTGAGTGGACAACCTAGGGGACAGCCTCCCTTTCCTCTCAGACTCTTGTCCCTGGTTGGGTGGGTGGGTGGCCCCCATGGACCAGAAGCAGTCCCACCAGCCCCTCTGGAGTCCCTGCTCCTTGGAGCCAGCTCCCTGGGGCCCAAGGACTTCTTTTTTGGGAGAAGCCCACCCTGTTGGTATGTCCCTGGGTCACTGTGTCCAGGTCACCCTGCCCCTGTCTCATTGGAGGGGAAAAAGGAAGGCAGGAGCTGAGACACACATCTTGGTTCTGGAATTTTTCATGTTGGGGCGGGGGCTCGGGGACAGCATCTGCTGGGAATCAGGATTCGGGGTATTGTTGCTGAGCTGTGTGGAGGGCACCTTGCAAGAAATGGAGAAAATGCCATATGCTCATACCAGAGATCGGAAGACAAATGGAAATGATGGGATCCTTTCTCTTACTCCCTTAGTCCTTCACTAACCCCAGGGTGACCCCCATGGTCTGTCTCATTCCAGCCATCTTGATCTCTGATGACATCCTACTAGGTCCATACAGTGGGAGTCCCCCTCCCCCAACCCAGAGATGGGAAGGAGAGAGAGGGCTCAAAATCTTTTTAGAATCCCACTCTGTGTCCAGTTGGGGTGCCTGAGGGCCCCTGGCTGCCAGCACTGTAGCACCACCTTAGAAGGCTCATGGGCCTCGACAACCCCACTCCCAGGCCCCTTTCTCTCTCTCGGGCAGAGTGGAGAGTAGAGAAATGGAGGCATGAAGTAGAGAAAAGGAGAGCAAAGGAATAAATCTAAACAAAAGAGATAATGGCTCATTCATTCATTCATTATTTGATTTATACTTAAAAGGTTGTAGGCTCTGGGGTCATAGCCGCGAACAAAACTTGCATTCTGGTGTGGGTTTGGGAGCAGATGCTAAACAGCCAACGGGAAAATGTGAAAATAAGATCACCTGAGGAGCGGCAGTGCCATGAAGAGAAGAGCATGAGAATATGGAAATGATTGGGTGGGAGTGACTTGGGATCAGTGGTCCAGGAAGGCCTCTCTGAGAAGATGGTGTTAGGGGTGAGGCCTCAGGAAAGTGCCGAAGAGTTGGGGGAAGAGCTTTGCAAGCAGAGGGAACAGCAAGTGCAAAGGCCCTGAGATTGAAATGAAGCCAATGTGTTTCAGAAGCAGAAAGCAGCCAGTGTGCCTGGAGCTGCGTGAGTGACAGGGTCCACTGGTGGAAGGTAGGCAGAGGCTGGGTCACAGAGGGCACTGTCTGTGTGATCAGGACTTTGGATTTGGGCAGCCATTGGAAGGCTGGGAGCAGGGAAGCAAATAGGTGAAAGTAGAGGGGATGAGTGGACACAGGAGGGCCTGCGGTGGGGGTGGGGGTGTTGAAAGGGAGAGAAGAGGCACAGAGAATGAGGACGTGCAGGAGGGCTCACCTCCTCACTCATCTCCAGGATCCAGTGAGACTGGGTGGGCTTCTGTCCCCTCTTGCTGTCACTTGGGTGGGGGCAGGCACAGATATTGTCCCCTGCAGCAGGAAGGGGCCTGTCTTCCCTTGAGTCAAGTGATCTTCATGCCCCAGAGACCCTCTCTGCACAGAGCTGAGATGCCTTGTCCCCGCTCCCAGGTGCTGGGCTTGAGATTTCTGGAGAGGGGATGGCTGGCCCCCTGGGTCTCCTGGTTGAAGATCTAGGGGCTCAGGAGGCCTCTGAGAATATTCCTGCTCCCCCATCCTCTGTACTCCACCAAGGAGGACAAAGAGGCCTCCCTTTACCACCCCCCTCTCTCATCGGTGCTTTGGGGCTTGCCCTGGGGCCATTTTGCTCCCAGTGCTTTGTTTTGTCTTAGATGGAGAAAGATCCTTGGCTGCTCCCACCTTCCTCTCCATCATCCTTCTGAGCAGCAAGTTGCTGAGTGTTTCTATCCTACATGGTTGAATATCTCAGTTGCTGATAATGCTCTGCTCTGAAAACTTCTTCTTGGTCTCTATTATTTGTGGCTCATGCATCAGGGTCATCTCTGCAGAACTGTGGTTGCAGAGATTGTTCACGAGTATCGCTCACAGTGCTTTACAGTTTATAAGTGCTTCCCTGATTTCTCTCCTCTTGAACTCCTAGATGTTTTCTCATGTGCCTTGAAAATCTGACTGCCTGTGGCTTTCTCCATTGGTACCAGCTCTCCATCTGGTACCGGCTCACTGACCCGGCCTGCTCCCTCTGTCTGAAGACAGGCTGGCAGGGATAGAAAGGTGGTGATCTGGTCCCTCTGAGGCTTCTCTGCTCCGCAATGAACAGCCTCTGCCTTAAAACCACTCCTCAGGAGCATCCCCAACCCAGACTTGCTGCTCAGTAAACTATAACTGCTTATCCCTAGTTTGTTCAAATCCCTCTGGGAGTATGGGGTCCAGTGCTGCCCCTGATATGATATGACATGACCTGATATGATATGACCACTACTGGACCTAAATTGCCTTTCACCTCCCACCTCCTGGTCACTGCCTCTGTTAATGTAGCCTCAGAATGAATGAGCTTAGCCCAGGCAACTCCTGTGGGTTTTACTGAGCCACCAATCCACCAACAGTCCTTGTAGACTAACATCATATGGCAGGAATTATTGCTCAGAAAGAAGCAGCAGGAAGTGAAATCACTAACTTCACATCTGCTCTGTGTTAGGCACCAGACTGGGAGGAGTGGTGGGCTTCCTTTGAGCCTCACATCACCCCTGGGTGGGGGACAGTCTAGACAAAACTCAGGGGAGCTTGATGGGGCCCAGACTTGTGTGATACCAGAGCCCTCTCTGGACCTATGCCATGGTCTCCCATCAGGTGAACTAAAGTCATGGGTCCACTACCCTCCTTTTTCTTCCAGTGTTCCAGCCGAGGACCTCTCTGGGCCTTGGAGCCTTGGCATAGCCCTGGCTCCCATTGTCAAGCCACATTCCCAGACTGGCTGCAAACCCCCTCTCCCACCTGCTTTTCTGAGTGCCAGTGTCTACTGGGTGTGTCCTGGTGCCTGAGGCAGAGCCCTGCTTCAAGGAGTTCACCTGCCTCTGTTGCTGTCTCTGTGGAAATAATAGGAAGTCTAACCCTTTTAAGTGCACTCACCTTACACTTTACAAAGTTCATAACCTCAATTCTTACAGCAACCCTGGGAGGTTGGCAACATTCTCTGTGTTTTATGGATGAGGAAACCGAGAAGGGTTATGTTCACTGGCAAGTGGTAGACCTGGAAATGCTGAAGTCTGTGCTCCAGGAAGCAGAAAGATTCCCAGACCATTAAAGCTTCATTGTGCACCTGCTTTGTGATGTCAGGCAAGTTATGTACTTGATCAATTCCCCATTTCCTTGTCTTTAAAATCAGGGGTTGGACTAGCTGGTTTCTAAGGGGACTTCAGCTCTGCTCTGAGCCCATAACATAGACAATTAATACTTCTGTATTAGAGATGATTCATGGAGGAGATTAGCCACAAAGGAATGGGTTTCTGAACTGGGTTTTCATGGAAGCCTAGATTTTGGGTTGGCAGAAAGTTATTTCAGGAGGGGATTATTCTGCAGGTGCAAAGGCAGGTTGGAGGAGGCCCATGGTAAGGTGAGCCCGCAAAGAATCTGAGGTTCAGAGAAGTGAAGTGCCTTGTCCCAAATACCAGTCTGTGGTGGAGTTAGCATTCAAATCCAGGTCAGGTTATAGTTCCAATTCTGTCTGCACACTAGAATGCTGGCTGGAAAATACTGATGCTGCTAACTCTTATGCAGAGATTCTGATGTAAAGTTGATCTTGACTTAGACACCTGTCTGGACAGGAGTGTGGTTGGAGCCTGTAGTGTCCTATAGGCACTGATGTCCTCAGGGGCAACTCTGTGGGTGTGGACACCTGCCTGAGCCATCAATCTATATCTCAGAATTGCTTCATGTCATCTGTGGCAAGCAGGCTGGTATGTGCCAATCTGTGGCTGTGGTCATGTGATGCTGGTGGGATGACCTCTATCCCAGCACTAAATCCTGGCTACATTAGGCATCCCCAGGAAGCTACCTCAACCTCTCTGAGCTTTGAATTCTCACCCCCACCCCATAAATCTGATGTTGTATACTAACCACATATTTGGTGATTTAAGGAATGTCCATTGCTTTTTGTGTTAATATATTAGGAACATGTTTACAAAGAGTTTTTATCTTCTAGACGTCTATACTGAAATATTTCTGAGTGAAACACTACATGATATTTGCTTCAAAATAATCTAGGTAGGGAGTTGATGAAATAGGGATTGATAACAGTTGACACTGTTCACTCATCTGTGATGAGTTCACAGAAGTTCATTATACTATTTCCTCTAATTTTGTAGATGTCTGACGTTTCCATAATAAGCGAGTACTTGACCTTAAAGCTTGGCTTGTACATACAAATGCAAAATACCCAGAATCCCAGACTGGGAGGGCAGTACGTGTGCATTCAGCACCGCGGACAGCAACCAGCGACCGCTTCCTGCAGCCTCAGCAGCAGTGGGGATCTCAGCGCAGAGAACCTCGGGATCCACCTTAGTTAGAAGAAGCTAGCTCTTCAGGACAGAAGTCTATCCAGCCTCTTACACACTTCCAGAGATGTAGCCATCACTACCGACTGGGTAGACCAGGCCTTGGTGGACAGCTTTGGCTCATAAGAAACTTCTGTTTTCTGCTCCTTAAGGATACCTTTGTCCAAAATCAATCAATTATTTCTACGTGTCTATTTCTGGGCTCTCTATCCTGTTCCATTTATCTATATCTGTGTTTATGTCAATCTTATGTTGTCTTGATTTATAGCCTTAGTGTAAATGTAAGTCTTGAAGATCAGGTAGTGTGAGCCTTCCAGCTTTGTTGTTCATTTTCAAAATTGTTTTGACTATTCTAGTTTTTTTGCTGTTCCATATAGGTTTCAAAACCAGCTTGTTATTTTCTACAAGAGGGCCCATTGGAATTTTGCTTGGCACTGTACAGACTCCATAGATGAATATGAGGAGAATGGGTATCTTAACAATGTCTAGGCTTCCAATCTATGAACAGGGTATATATCTCCATTTCTTTAGGTTTTCTTTAATTTATCTCCTCGCTGTTTTGTAGATTCTGCTATACATATTTTGCACATATATTCTTACATATACTCCTAAGCCATTTAATATTTTCTGATGCTATGGAAAATGATATTTTTAAAATTTTATTTTCCAATATTTTGTTGATAGTATGTACAAATATAATCGATTTTTGTTCTTTGACCTTGTATCCTGTGACCTTGCTAAACTCCTTATCAAATCTAGTAGCTTTTCGGGTAGAATCTTCAGGATTTTCTTCTTTAAAGGATTTTCTTCAGATTTGTATTCTTAAAAAATGTAGACCTATAGAAAAGTTACAAGAAGTAATACAACTGAAGTAGTCAAAATAACACAGTCCTCCCTCCCACCCCACACCGTGTCCACGTCCTAATCCCCAGAACATATGAATATGTTATATTACATGTCAAAGGGAATTAAAGTTGCAGATGGCATTAAGGTTGCTAGTTGGCTGACCTTAATTTAATATAGATTATCCCGAATTGTTGGGTAGGCCCAACGTAATTACAAGGGTCCTTAAATGTGGAAGAGGGATGCAAAGGAGGAGTCAGTCAGTGTCAGGGTAAAATAATGTGAGAAAGACTAGACCCTCCATTGCTGGCTTTGAAGATGGAGAAAGGGGCCACAGGCCAAGGAGTTTGGGCGGCCTCTAGAGGCTAGAAAAGGCAAGACAATGAATCCATCCCCAGAGTCTCCAGAAAGAAGTGCAGCTTTGTGGACTCCTTGATTTATCATAGTGAAACACTCATTAGCTGTCTGGCCTACAAACCTATAGGACAATAAAGTTTTGTTTTAAATCACTGCGTTTGTGGTACTTTGTTACAGCAGTAATAGAAAACTATGAAACAATGAATGCATACCATCACTTAGGCTAATTGCGGCATTTGCCACATACCCTCTCTCACTGTATGTATGCACATGCACTCACATTAGTGTTAAGCGTAGTCTTCCTTGTAGAACCGTTTGACAGGGAGTTCCGGACATCATGATTCCACATCCCCAAATCCTTAAATATGTACCTCCTAAGAAAAAACACATCGTTTTACACATCCACGGTACAGTTTTAAAATTCATGAAATTTAAAATTAGTACAATGCTACCAGTTAACATCCAGTCCATATTCATATGTTGCAAATTGTCCTAGTAATGTCTTTTATGGCTTTTTTTTTCATGATCCAATCTGGAGTCGCGAATCACATTTAGTTGTCAAATATATGTGGTCTTCTTTAATCTAGAACAGTCCTTTTAGCTTTTCGTTGATCTTTTATGACATGGACATGTTTGGAGAGTACAGGTCTGTTGTTTTATAGACTGTCCCTTGGCTTAGGTTTGTGTTCTCTCCCTATTGTTAGATTCAGGATATGAATGTTTGGTAGAGTAGCCACATAAATGTTTCTACATCCTTCTCAGTACATCACATCAGGAGGCACAAGGCACAACTTTGCCTGCTATTAGTGGTGCTTATTTTGATCACTTGGTTAAGATGGTGTCTGCCAGATTTGTCCACTATTAAGTTACCTTCTTTCCTTTGTAATTGACAAGTAATCTGTGGGTAGATGCACTGAGACTGGAAAAATATCATCTTCCTCAATAAATCTTCACCCAATGGTAATTTTAGCTTCAAATGATACACTTATCTTATTGTTACTATGATAGCTGAAAGATGATGATTTTATAACGCCATCATTCCTTTTATATTTATTGGTTGCCATTTTATTGGGAAGAACAGTTTTCTCTAATTAACTAATTCTTAGTTTCAGGTGGAATCATGGGTTCTTTGTTTCTATCATTCCTTTCCTAATTCATTTTAAAATATGCTCGTTTAAAATATTTCAATTTAGGTATAAATGCATACATACATAGCCATAGTAGATTGTTATTTATGTATAATGTACATACACAGATCTGTGTATAGCTTGATAGTTTTTTTTGCAAATACATCTATACAGGGAATAATTTTTTTTAGTGTTTATTTTTTTTTGGGGGGGGGAGGGCAGAGAGAGAGGGAGACACAGAATCTGAAGCAGGCTCCAGGCTCTGAGCTGTCAGCACAGAGCCCAACGTGGGGGCATGAACCCATAAGCTGTGAGATCATGACCTGAGCTGAAGTCAGATGCTTAACCGACTGAGACACCCAGGTGCCCATAAATCGGGCATAATTTGTGTGTCCCAGTGCAAGACTAAAATGTAGGGCTTCTTGTTCAAAAAGAGAGCTTTCCCCTTCTACAATCTCTTCCAACCTGTCATGATGTTTTTAATTTTCCATTTATTGTCACTTTCTCCGACACTGGGATGCTTGTAGGTACCTGCAGATACTCACAGGAGCCTAGGGACCCACTCCAGGATTCTGAGAGCGGCCCACTTCCTCCTGTCAGCGGTGAAATCAACACACCATGCCCTGACTGGGAGCAGGGAACTCAAGCCAGGCACTGCCCCTTCCCACAGGCCTGCCCACCCCAAGGGTATTGCAAGCTCCACACCAGAGAAATGGCGACTTGAATTGATGGTGGGAGAGAGGCTCTCCTTTCTTTTTAAGTTTTTTTTTTAAATGTTTAAATGTTTTTTTAATTTTGAGAGAGTGAGCATGAGTAGGGAAGGGGCTGAGAGACAGGGAGACACAGAATCCAAAGCAGGCTCCAGACTCTGAGCTGTCAGCACAGAGCCTGATGCAGGGCTCGAACTCATGAACTGCAAGATCATGACGTGAGCTGAAGTCGGACGCTCAACCGACTGAGCCACCCAGGCACCCCAAGAGAGGCTCACCTTTGTGATTCATTCACCAAATGTGCTGTGGTGCTGCCAGTCTAGGACAGAAATGACAAGAATGCCCCATCTGCCACGCCGTGGGGTGTGGGCATGAAAGCAAACCCTCTTTCCACTGATGCCCTGGTCCTATGGTCATGGGGCAGGGGCAGGAAGAGAGGGTGGGCCAGGTTAGAGCACTACAGGGCAGAGGAGTGGGCAGTCAAGAGCTTGTTCTGGGAAGGTGGCAGGAGGTGGTACTACTCATAAACTGAGGCTCCACGCCCTCGACACTTGCTCCGTTGCCCCATCAGACTTCACTTATAAAGCAAAGTTCAGAGTCAAAATTATTAAGAATCTCAAGACAGTGACCACAGAATATGAAACCCCAAGTGCAGGGCCATTCTGAACATGACTCTACTGGCTGCGTGACCACGAAGCAGGACCTGAATCTTTATCTACACCTGTAACCGTATTCACACATGTCCCTATCATCATGGGCCCATCACTGAGAGCAAGACATAATGTTTCCAACACTCTGGAGGGTACCCTTGCGTCTATTCTCAGGAAACCCCAGCCTCTGCACCAAATTAAGCACTTCTCTGACCTCTATCACCATAGATGAGTTTTGTTTGTCCTCGAATGAAAGGCATAGGAATGGAATCACACAACATATCGCCATTCGTGTTCGGTTTTTTTCTGTTCATCATTTTGATTGTGAAATTCACCTAGGTTGTTGCACATACCAGTAACTTTTTTTTTCTTTATTGCCATGTAGTATTTCATTGTATGAGTATATCCCAGTCTACCTTTGATGGGCGTTTGAGCGTTTCCTATTTTTGTTTAATAGGCACAGAATTTTCCTAATTTGGCCGTCCAAGCTAGCCCCTGTGTCCTTTTGACCTATCCCATCATTTTTAACGCTTAATTTTTTTGCCCAACAAGATGTTTTAGGCTCGTTTTGTACCCCACTCCCCCAGCCCTCAAATTGGCCTTTTCCCCCAAGAAAGTCTGGTTCCTTTTGCTGGGGAAGAATTGAGAAACTAATATATGGGCTCTGAGTGTGCCTAGTTATTAGTGAAATACCAGTACCTGAAGGCCTGTTCACCAAAGATGAGAAATAGGTAGTTTTAAAAATCATAAATTCATGTCAATACCTCAGATTCCAATCCAAGACCATCTCCCTCGACTTCTCCCACAGTGAGAGCCCTCATCTCCCCCCCAGCCCTCATTCATCCATTTGCTCATTTCCTACAGCCTTTGGCCAGCTGTCTGTGCCTTTTCCTGATCATTCTTAATGTCTTGGGTGCTTGGATTGTCTTCTTTCGTTTTGGTAAGGACACCCACAAGCCTCAGACTCAGGGTTCCTTGCTCTCTCCTCTCTCTGTCCGCACGGCCCATGCTTCCCTGCTCGTGTGTGCAGGTCCCTTGCCAGACTCACAAGTGACTCCTTCCACGGCAAGGAGAGAGAGCGAGCAGGTCCTGTCCGCCTGCTTTACTCAGGATTCTTGCTGGTGCAGTTATCGCTGTCCTTCCCCACCCCCCTGTTACAGAACCTAGGGATAGAGACTATCGTTCCCCTTTTCACGGTCAAGGACATCGAGACTCAGAGAATAATAACCAGGACCCCGCTGTTTTCAACCCCGTGTGGTAGGTGCTTAATACATGTCTGTGATGTGGGGTCATGTTAACACCTCTTTAGAATTCCGTTGTTCTCAAATTGTAGTCTGAACAAGAAGTGCCTTGTTAAGTGCAGACTTCGGAGGCGCTATCCTGAGAGTCTGCCCCTTGAGGTCTGGGGCTGGTCCCGGCACCTGGATCAACAGTCCCCCTTCGCCCGCAGGCGGTTACGAGGCATACCGTTCATAGCACCTATCACCACCGGCGATTATCTTGGTTACTGACGAACGTAAGCCCCCAAGAGGGCCGGGCTTTTGCCTGAAGTCTCTGGGGAGCCCGGCCCAGGGCCTGGTACAGATCAGCTAGTCCCAATAGGTGATGATGACTCTTCGCGGTCACTTGTGGCGGGAGTGTTTCTGAGTCCGTGTGGAGCGCCTGCTGGACGACGGCATCAGCGGGATGACGAATGAACGCACGGCGGAGGGGACGCTGGCTGCCTGCGGGCTGGAGGTGGCCAGGGGTCTGGTCCGTCTCGGGGCGGGCGAACGCGGGCGGGGCCCAGGGCCCTACGACTTCACGTCGGCGGAGCGCAGCCGGCGAGCGGCGGGCGGGGCCATGACGTCATACCGCGGAGCGCAGCCTGCGCGCCAGGGCGCGGCGGCGCCGTGACGTCACGCCCGCGGAGCGCCTTCGCCGGCGGCGGCCTGGGCGGGGCGGGGCGCGGGCCGGGCGGCGCCGTGACGTCACGCCTGCGGAGTGCGGCGCGGCGGCTGGGGCGGCGGGCGCGGGCGCGTGCGGGGCGCGGGCGCGGGCGCGGGCGCGGGGCGGGCGGGGAGCGGGCGGCGCGGCTCCGGGGCCGGGCGGCGGCGGCGGCATGGCGGAGAGCGAGGCCGAGACCCCCAGCACCCCGGGCGAGTTCGAGAGCAAGTACTTCGAGTTCCACGGCGTGCGGCTGCCGCCCTTCTGCCGCGGGAAGATGGAGGAGATCGCCAACTTCCCGGTGCGGCCCAGCGACGTGTGGATCGTCACCTACCCCAAGTCCGGTGAGCCCCGCGCAGACCCCGCCCGCCCGGCTCTGCGGCGCGCCCGGCGCCGGGGGTGGGGGGTGGGGGCTTCCCGTCGGGAGCGGGGAGGGCGGGGGCTGAGCATTAAGGGGCGGGGTGGGTGGGGGTCGGCCGGCATTTGGGGAAACCGAGGCCGGGGACCTTCGGAGGTGGGCCCGGGTGTCCACGGCTGGACAGCGATCGCTGGGGATAGAGCCTGTTCGGCCGGGGCTGCAAGGCGGACAGGCCCTGGGCCACCACCCCTCCAGGCTTCCCCGCCCGCTACCCAGCTGGCTGTGTGACCTTGGACAGTCACTTAACGTCTCTGTTCTGGGGCCCAGTTCAGCCTTTGATGAGTGCAAAGTCCTGGTGGTTATTTGGGGAGGGGGGATAAAACGGATTTCAGGGCGTCCCTCGTTTCCTGCGTGGGCACTGGGTGGGGGATGGGACCAGCCATGCTCCCAGTGCATGCCCGGTGTTCCCTTGTTTTAGGGCCGCCTCTGTCACCCAGGTGTCATCAGGCAGGACCCAGGGCATCATATTTCCCAGCATTAACTGATCTTGCATTCATGACGATCTTGTAAGGTAGAGATGGCATCTTCGCTTTACGGTCTAGGCAGTGAGGCTCAGAGAGGGGCAGTGGCTGGCCCAAGGTCACACAGCTGATAAGTGGCAGAGCTGGGTTTTAATGCCAGGCTGGTCTGCCCAGGACTTGATGTAAGAGATTATCATGTAGTGTCTCTCTTGAGTTTTGTGGGGAAGAGAGGCAGCTTTCCTGTGCTTTGAACATACCTGAGGGTTTCCCTGGTGGCCACGGGATTGGACCAGGAGGGACACCTGGGTCCAGACCGTGCAGTGTGTCTGTAGCCTGGTGTGGAAGGTGGCCAGCCTGGAGGTCATGTGGGATCAGCAGCGGTGCAGCTTGCTGGAGGCCGTAGGCCTGGCTCTCATAGCTGTGCGGGGTCCCAGACACCTGAGAGGTAGGCCTGGTCCTCTGAGGAAGGTTGGGGAAGGGGCTGTCCATGGAGGGGGTGGGGAGCCTTGTTGGTTGGGGGAGGTTGAAGAAGTCTGGAGGTGCTGCCTGCTGTCCTTGGGAAGGGGCAAAGGAAGGAGACAGCACACCCTGCGTTAGTCATGGCCAAGGGCTTTCCTTCTGCTGCAGCCCCAGGGCCCCATGGGTGTGGGGGCTCAGCAGTTCCCAGATTTTAGCATCATAGATACCATACGGCTGTAAGACCCCCGGCCGGGTGTGGGGCTGTCCTTTGGACCCCTGCATTAAAAATAGCAGCAATAAAGACTGAAAAAACCATCTCATGTCAGTTTCGGACAGGGTTTGCCTCCAAATGAATTGTGAAAAACTTGGTTTGGGGAGTGCGTTACGAGTTTTGAATTGCAGAGGAGGGGCTGTGGTTTTGTGTTCTTTCCTCCATTTTATGAAATTAAGAAGCTGGTGTGGGGGGAGACACACACCCGGAGGCCTGCTTGGAAAGCTGTGCACTTGGGGCTTGTGGGGGACGCTTTGGAGGGACCCTGCGTTGGGGGTCTGGTGGGGTTCTGCGGGGACCTTCCCAGGCACCTAGATGGGGAATGAGATGCTAGTTTAAGGAAGTTTTCTACATAACCCAAACTCAAATCTTGTTTGTAACTTGCATCATTCAAAGACAGATGAAAGCACACCATAGACTTTTTAATAAGAAGAATGAACGTAGGGCTCTTTCCCTTGGTGACAGAAAACCCAGTGGTGGCCTTGAGAACCTTGTGCCTTGTGTGAGGTCCCTTCAGACAGAACCCTAGAGAGCCACCTCTTTAAAAAAAAGAAAAAAAAATCCAGCAGTCCTTGTGGCCTTTCCAGGCTCTTTCCGGTGCCTCTGAAGACGTTTGCTCCCCCCACCCCACCGTTCATGAAGTTTGTTACATGACATGATCAAGGGGGTGAAAAACTGGCCCCCAAAGTGTGCTGTAAAGATTTTCTGTCAGCCAGAGGAAAGGGCTCTGGAAGTCCTGGCCAGTGGCCTCTGGTAGCAGGAAGGTCTGGTCCCAGCAGGCCATTGCCCTGGGGCAAGTTTGAGCCTTGGTTTCCCCTGCCCTGAAATCTGCAGCCAAACTTTTGGGCAGTCGCTGGGGGTGGCCCCGGCGCTGGGGTCCTGGAGGCCATTACCTTGAGCACAGGCCGGTCGCGGCTTTGGATGAAGCTGGAATGCCTTAGGAAGAGGTGAGTGCTCCCCGCCCACCTTTGGAGCTGTGGTTTTGCAGGAGCGGGGAGACCCCCTTACCATCTTGATGGGAAGCTTGAGGAAGGGGGGAAGGGAGGAAGGGCGTGAGCGCCCCTCCCAGTGCCGCATGCCTGGTGAGTGTGAGGAAGGGTCGTGTAATTGACACGGGTCTTTACTCACCAGCACCTGATACCCAAGATGCTTTTCCAGGTGCTCGGGCTGCTGCCTGCCCTCAGCGAGCGCACCTGCGGCTGGGGGACAGGTGGCTACAGGGTGGTTGGTGCCAGGCTTGGGGCAAGTAGCTGGGACTAGTGGAGGCCCCTGAGAGAAACCACAGGGCCCCTTGGGTTTCCAGTGACCAAGTCTGGGAGATCGTAATGAACTTGCAATTGGGCGGGACTGGAAGGGCTTGTAGAGACCTTGTCCCCCCTCCCGCTGATGCAGAACAGGGGTTCACGGGGCCGGGGATTTCTGGGAGTAATTAGATCCTGGTTTCCCCTTGGCGCTCCACTACGCTCTGGGAACCTTTCTGTGTTTCTGACATTTTAGCGCAGGTGGCATGTTAGGACTGTGCCGCCCAGGTCAGCAGCCTGTAGCCACACGTGGCTTTTTAGATTCAGTGAGTTGAAAGGGCACAAAAGCAGGAACTGGGTTCCTTAGCAGCCCTTGTCACATCTCGGGCTCAGTAGCCACAGTAGCTTGTGGCTGTCATCCTGGGCTGCACGGGGCTCAGACACTGCCATTGTCGCCGGGAGCTTCTGGGGTAGCACCTGTTCACCCGTGGTCCAGGGCCTGGGATCGCGCTGTGCCTTCCGCGGAGGACTGTGCTCTGGATCTCCGTCCGTGTTTATAAGCCTTCATTCTCACAGCCCCTCTTTGATGTCAAGTGTGACATCTGACTGTCAGTGGAAGCGTGTCGTGACTGTGAGCCGGTTCGACGGCGGGCACTGCTGTTCATTCTGCCAACTCTGGTCCCTGAAGTCACGGAGCGTCTGCCCTGGGAAGTGCTGCTTGGCTGGAGCCCAAGAAAAATGGGGGGATTGGACCTGATGGATTCATTTGACTCTTAAATCTCAAGACAAAGGGGGGTAAGGGGGCTGTGGGGAGATCCTCAGGTCCCAGGCCAGGGGATGACTCTTCTATATACGCGCATGCCACCATGCCTAGGAAAGGCGGATTGGGGAGTGCTGTGAATGCGGGGACACTCTTCTCGAGGAGCTGGTGGTGACAGTGGGAAGCCAGGCTCCGGATGCTGAGAGCTGAGTGACAGGACAGGGTAGTTATTCTCAAGACCAGGTCATGGACCCTGGAAGGAGGATCCCTGGAGGACTGCATGGAGGAGGTGGCCTTATGTGGGACCTGGATGTGAAGCTGGGTGGGATTACCAATGACAGCTACAGTCCCCCTGTCAGCGTCTTTGGAGTCTCAGAACAGTCTTGTGTTCTTGTGATTGTTTCTTTTTGTAGATGGATAGAGGCCCAGGGAGGGGGAAAGGAAGGGAGAGGTTGGACCCGGCATTGAGGGTTTGGGTTTTACTTGTAGACAACAGACATGAACAAGCCCCGGAAGAGTTGGGGAGAGATCATGGGGATGGGAACTCACATTTGGCTGCACCTGTTCTGTGCCAGGTGCCTCCCAGGTGCTCCCATGTGGCGTCTCATTTCCGGTTCCCGCGGCCTGGGGAAGGGGCTGTTCAGCGGCCCAGTGCTTACACCAGGAAGCGGGGTACAAAGTGTTGAGGGACCTGCCCCCCACCTCGCTCTCACATTTGTTCTGAGACCGGCGTGCACGCTGTCCCTTTCAGCGACACCGCACAGTGGGGCTAGTGCTGTTCAGCACAGGGGTTAAGTTACCCGCCTTCCAGAAGGGAGGGCAGAGGTTTGAGGAGCGAAACATGGTTTCATTCAGAGGGAGCTGTGGGGTTCCTCCTCCTTGTCCCCCCTTCTCTTTCTCTCCTCCCCCTGCTCCTTCCCTTTGCTTTTTTTTTTTTAAATTGTTTTTAATGTTTATTCTTGAGAGAAAGAGTGAGACCGAGTACGAGTGGGGGAGGGGCAGAGAGAGGGAGAATCAGAAGCAGGCTCCAGGCTCTGAGCTGTCAGTGCAGAGCCTGACGTGGGGCCCGAACTCATGAACCACGAGATCATGACCTGAGCTGAAGTTGGACCCTTAACTGACTGACCACCCAGGCGCCCCTCCCAGGCGCCCCTCCCTTAGCTGTTATGCCAGGGTCTGCACACAGTCAAGAGGGCTTGGGGTCGGGGAGGATGGCGGCATGTCCAGGTTCCTGGGCTGCCAAGGGGAACCTCTCCCCTCCTCGCCACTTGGCCTTGGAAGAGAAAGCCTGAAGAGCCGCTCTCAGGGTTCTGGAGAGAGAAGGGAGGCGGGGCCTCGGGAGGAGCGTCTTTCTGACTCCAGTGGAAAGGGAAGGGATTCCCGCTGCCCTCCCTGAGCTCCAGGGTCTCATCCTGATGCCTCATTTCTCATTCATCCTCGACAGTGACGACTTCTCCTGCCCCTCCCCCCACACGCACTTGGTTATTGGTGTCCGTTTATTTGTCCTCTCCCTGCCCCCGCTGATGGGGAACAGGGGCTCCTGGGGCCTGGGGGCTTCAACACTCTACTGCTGAGAGTGTTATGGGACACTGGACTGCACCCAGTAAGCTCCAGAGCTGTCTGCCCCTCTCTGCACCTGCTACGTTCTCGGGATCCTTCCTCTCATGCCTGGAGTGTTGCACGGCCCCCCGCTCAGTTCACCTTTTACTCTGCAGCTAAAGTGACCTCTTAGAA